GGCATTTCCTGGGACCTTCCCCCAGAGAAACCCTTTACGTTCCTATTCTGGTCTCAGGGTCTCTTTCTGGGGGTAATCTAAACCAAGATACCTAAGAGATCTAGTTCCTTATTCCAGGGATATTTGATTCTTCGCTCTGAGCTCTGAGATAGGAGATGCTGAGGCTCCACTGTGAGCAAGACAGACAGGAGCCCTGTTCCCCTAGTTTTGTGGGCGAGAGCTGATACCAGATGACTAGGAATGATCAGTGGTGGTGGTTGTTAAGTGCCGTTGAGTTGGTTCCAACCCATAACGCCCCTGTATAGGGTTTCCAAGGAGACGCTGGGGAGCTTGAACCGCCAGCCTTACAGTTCAAACAGCTTTGCAGTCTGCTGATGCATTAACCCTCAACGCCACACCAGGTGCTAGCCAAAAGCTTTCCAGGGTGCAGATCTGAAAAGAGTGGGATGGGTCAGTGGAGAGAGACACCTGTGCAAGACTGTTGAGAAGAAGTCATTTAAATGAGATCTGATGGTGGCAGAAGCCAGTGTGTGTGTGTGTGTGTGTGTGTGTGTGTTTGCATTTCTTTACGTCCTTGTCTAGGAGTCTTGGTTGTGTCTGCTTGTGCCTGTTACGCTGCTTGAGGGTCTCCATGTGTGTCTGTTCGCAGCTGAGTGTCTCTGCCTGTCTTCCTCTCTGTCCCTTGCTCTGTTTTGTCTCCAGTTCTGTCCCTGTGTATGCCTCCGTCTCTGTCTTCTTTCAACAACTAGTTATTGTCCACTCTGCTAGCTGTGGGGACAAAGTGGTCAGAAAGAGCATGATTCCTGTGCCCACAATCTAGGGCAGGGGTGGGAAATTTTTTCCTGCCAAAATTGATAACATCATCCTCAGGCCATACGAAATTATCCATTTAAAATTAGCCTGCTGTATTTGGTCAGGTGTTTAATTAACTCACTCCTAATGTGATGACTAAGGAGCTCTGGTAGCATAGTGGTTACGAATCGGGCTGCTAACCTTACAGCCAGCAGTTCGAAACTACCAGCTGTTCCACAGGAGAAAGATGAGTCTTTCTGCTCCTGTAAAGACTTCTAGCCTTGGAAACCCTGTTCAGGGTCGCTGTGGGTCGGAACCAACTCAACGGCACTTAACAACAACAGCAGTGTGATGACTGCTATGCTTACCAAGCTCCACCAGATTCATGTTATTATTACCATCGAGTCGGTTTTGACACATAGCAAACCTGTATAGGGTTTTCGAGGAGTGCCTGATGAGTTTGAACCACTGACCTTGTAGTACAAACCAACTTGATGGCACTTAACAACAGCAAATGTGATGGCTGGAACTGTGGTTGCCTTGGCAGGGTCAAGCGAAATGATTTGTGGGCCTTATGTGGTCCACAGGCCAGACATTTCCCACCCCTGGTCTATAGGGAAGAGGGCACGAAGTCCCAGATTCATTCCACGACACTTGTCTCTGTTGGGTGCTTGTCGATGAGGGGCTTGGTCGGTGTAACAGCAGGGACTAGACGGCCTCCTGAGAGTTCGATGGTGACTGAGCTGACCCGACTGAGAGCATCTCTGGCTAAGTTCACAGTGTGTGCTCACATCCTGTGGTGGGTGAGAGTGACCCACTTAGGGGCTGGATGAGGACCAGGCAGACGATGACCTGGGGAGTGAGGTTTTGTGGCTGAGTCTAGTGGGTTGGTAGACCAGAGCACCCAGGACCTTGGTTTGTAGTCCCACCAGCATTGAGAGGCTTGAAGCCATGGTATGGCGGAAGAATACTTTCGTTTCACAGCCTGTTTCTGGGGGCAAGTGTTGGGTCAGGAGGCAGCTATTGAAGTTGCTAGATGATGGAGTTGGTGTTAGGAATGGAGTTAGCAGGTTCTAGAGCAAGGGAGAAAGCAGATTTGATCAGACTTGGTGCTTGCCTGCGGGGAAATGTTCCACTCTCTGGAGGCTTTTCTTGATGTCATATGTCAAGTTTTTATTAGACTTTTGCTGCAAGGGAAATACTCACGAAGGCCACATAGGCCCATTCAAAGATTCACTTTTCAAGATACTTTGCTAGACAAGAGAATTGTCAGATACTCCTTGTTAGACTGGATAGACAGAGCAAAGAATGTTTGTTAAAGTCACTGACGGTCGAGTGGGTGGGCAGCTCATTTTGGGGAGTACCTCTTGGTGCCATGGATATTTTGGGGTCACTGCTGGAGCTGTGCTGGAACTTTGTGAAGCGTAGCTCGGAGACAAGAACTGCCCTTCGTGGCTTTTCATTCTCTCTCCTTGGGAGTTTCGGTTTGATTTGCAGTCAAGGCACAGAGAGGAGGTAAGGGGAGAGTTGTTGCTGTTGTTTTGTGCCATGGAGTCGGTTCCGACTCATAGCGACCCTGTGCAGGGTTTCCAAGGATTTCAATCTTTACGGGGAAAGTAGGCACAAAGAACTCTGCTGCTCCCCTCCCGCCCCCTACTCCACACCAATTGTAGGGTCACTCATAATTGCCAAGAATGTATTTGTTGTTGTTGTTGTTGTTGTTAAATGCCAGCAAGTTGGTTCGGACCCATGGCAACCCTGAACAGGGTTTCTGAAGAGCTGCTGGTGAGCTTGAACTGTCGACCTTGCAGTTCAAACCAACTTTGCAGTCCAGTGCATTAACCCATAGAACCACACCCGGACTCCAAGAATACATTTGTTGTTGTTGTTAGGTGCCATCAAGTCGGTACCGACCCATAGCGACCTTATGCACAACAGAACGAAACACTGCCCGATCCTGGGCCAACCTCACTACTGTTGGCCAAGCTTGAGTCCATCGATGCTGCCACTTGGCCAATCCAGCTCGTTGGGGGTCTTCCTCTTTTTCTCTGGCCCTCCACCTTACCAAACATGATATCCTTCTCCAGCAACTGGTCCCTCCCGACAACATGTCCAAAGTATGAGAGACAAAGTTTGGTCATCTTGGCCTCCAAGGAGCCCTCTGGCTGTACTTCTTCCAAAACAGATCTATTGGTTCTTTTGGCAGTCCATGGCACTTTAAATATTCTCCTCCAACACCATAACTCAAAGGCATCAATTCTTCTATTGTCTTCCTTATTCACTGTCTAGCTTTTGCATGCATATGAGGTTACTGAAAATACCATGGCTTGGGTAAGGCGTGCCTTAGTCCTCAAGCTGACATCTTTGCTCTTCAACACTTAAAAAAGGTCTTGTGCAGCAGATTTTCCTAATGCAATACGTTGTTTCATTTCTTGACTGCTGCTTCCGTGAGTGTTGATAGTTGATCCAAGATGAATGAAGTCCCTGACAACTTCAAACAAACAAAATCAAATCAAAACAAAACAAAAAAACCATCGTTGTTGAGTTGATTTCCAATTCGCTGTGACATCACTCCGTATATGACAAAGTAGGACTGCCCAGAGTGTTTTATGGCTGCACCAATGGGCTTAAGCCTAGCAACGGCTGTGAGGATGATGCAGACCTGGGCTGTGTTTCATGCTGTTGTGTATGGCATCACTGTGAGTCAGAACTGACCAGACAGCACCTACCAACAAGAACAGCAACAGTCTTTATATAAGCAGATCGCCATGCCTTTCATCTTCAGTCCCACTGGGTAGGGTAGAAAGAACCACCAACCTTTCGGTTGATAAGGAAGTGCACTGGATATTGCAAAAGAAGGATGGAATGTCTATGTCTCCCCACCCCCCCGCTCCCCCCAGGGACCAGATCTTACGTAACCATGGAGTAGTGATCAGAATAAGAGTGCTGCCACCGGTGAGCTTCAGTTTAGTAAGCCAAAGACCTAATTGGCTTTCATTGTTTGGATCTGTTTTATAACATAGTTTCTAGTTCTATACAATTCTATCCTGTGTATAGATTGTTGTTGTTAATGTGCCATCGAGTCTTCAACCCTTAGCAACCCTGTATAGGGTTTCTGAAGAGCAGGTGGTGAGCTTGAACCTCCGAACTTGCACTTCAAACCAACTTTGCAGTCCAGCGCATTAACCCACAGCACCACACCACCACAAATACTGCTTCAAATGTCTTCACATTGCTTTGTGAATCTTAGCTCAGAACTGTACTCAAGATAGCTAGATCCACAATACAGACAAGCAGAGAACTTTACGTTCATTCTGTCTCCTCTGTGCACTGTCTAACCCTAGGGGTTAGACTAGACCAGAACATTCTATCAATTAAATCAGGTTCAAGAAACAGTCTGGACTCCAGGGCAGCTGGCCACTTGAGGCATGGACACCTAGAGGTGTGGTCCATTGGAGCCACCAGTGAAATCGTCTTCCACACTCTTCCATCTCTCCCACATCTCGTGACCATCCCTCCCCTGGGTCCTGCCACGTCATCTTTTTAGTGGTTATTCTGTGCCTCTCCCCTTCTCCTCCACTTGAACTGAACCAGTGAGCACTTGTAGGTTTTGGGATGTGAGGGAGGAGGTCATTACGATCAAGCTTTCATAAGACACTGGGAGCGTTCACATTACCCAAAGCTGGTGGTCTCTGGAGTCTCCTTTCTGCCTGTAGATCTGACAGACTACAGTTTGATTCACTCTCGGGCATCACTGAGGCCACTTATTCAGTTTCCACGTAACCACCCGCTGCTGTAAGGTCAATTTCAACTTCTAGTGATCTTGTCGGACGGAGTAGAACTGTCTCATAGGGTTTCCGAGGCTGTCAGTTTGTATGGGAGCAGACTGCCTCTCCCATGGAGCCTCAGGTGGGTTCAAACCAGTGACCTCTGGGTAGCAGCCCAGCACTTAACCTACTTTAGAATATGTCAATCTCTGGAAGAGGGTGGAGGATACCCCAGACACTTCATACTTTGGTCACTTGTGGGTGGTGGTAGACACTTGGGGCCAGCTCTGTGACCTTCTGTCTGCTCCCATTCCTGGGGTCTGATGAGCTAGATGCAGAGACATGAAGGAGCTGGGCCATGTCTGGGGCATAGGTGAATGGCCACATCTTCAGGTGCAGTGAAGACTGACTTCTAACTGGCCCCCTGCATTTTCCTTTCAGTGGATATCATGGAAATTAAGGAGATCCGTCCAGGGAAGAACTCCAAGGACTTTGAGCGTGCCAAAACAGTCCGCCAGAAGGAATGCTGCTGCTTCACCATCTTCTATGGCACCCAGTTTGTCCTCAGCACACTGAGTTTAGCAGGTGGGTGCGTGTGACTTTTGTTTATTCCTACTCTGGAGCCTTGCAAACATGATGCTCCCATCCCACGAGCCTGCCTTGGGGGCTTCATATCCTAGAATCCAGCCCTGCCACTTTCTAGCTGTGTGCCTTTGTGGGAGGCATGTAGCCTCTCTAAGCTGGGTTTCTTCTGCTGGAAAATGGGGTGGAAGATAGATAACTCATTACAATGCTGAGAGGTGTCTGTTAAGCGTCTGCGGGCTCCTGGGGAAAGCTGCATCATTGGTGCATACGTAGTTTTGTAGGTAGTTAGTTTTCCATTAGGTAGTTTTAGTTAGTCAGGAGTTTTCCTCCTGTCAGAGGAGTAATGGAATCCACCTTTTTCCTACCATAGCTTTATAGCAAACTTGACACTGACTCAGGGGAACCATCCTGAATCTTGTTTCACATATGTGGGCATGAGTACACATGCCCCCCATGCATGTACACATGCAGACTCCTGTACCCACATGAAAACATAGGCATGAACATGTGCATATACATACACACAAAGATAAGCACAGGTATGCAGACACACATGCACACAACCATACACATATATATATATACACACACACACACGTTTGCAAACATACAGGCACACATGTGAAATTGTGCACAAACACACCATTGCATGTGTGCAGATGCACATTCACAATTACATACGTACATGTATACATATGCACACAACCATGAAAACATCACAACACAATGCAAACATGAACATATATGTGCACACGTAAATGTGTATGCACAACTGTGCAAATATGCACATAGACAATAGATGCACAACCATACATATATGCAGTTATACTCAAGTGCATACACGCACACACACACACACACACACAACCACACACATGTGACATATATGCACACGCATAAATGTGGAGCCGCTCACCTATGCATATGCACATATATGTACAAGCACACACATATATGCAAGACCTATGCACACATATAGACATATAGACAGTCACATACATGCACATGCACACACATGTGTTAGCTGCTTTCTAAAACACTAACAACAGCCACAATGACCATGATAATAATTATCACCAGCACCAGTCCTAAATAATTCCCTCAGGCACAGAAAATGAGCCCATTTGTCACCCCTGCCATAGGAACACGTCAGGATCATGTGGTCTTACCCCAAACCCAAAGCAGGTTCTTAAGCACCATGAGGAGTCCCTGGGTGATGAGAACAATTAACATGAAAGGTTGGAGGTTGCACTCCACTCAGGTGCATCAGAAGAAAGGCCTGGCAACCTTCCTGGAAAATCAGCCATTGAAAACCCTGTGAGGCCCATGGAGTTGCTGTGAGTTGCAGTCAGCTTGACAGCAATGATTAAGCACCACACAGGCAGGGAAAAGAGTGCTGCTCTAGGAGCCCTCCTGAGCCAGCAGAAATCGCCTTCTGAAATACCCTCATGGACTGCCAGGACACAGGGGTCTTGAAATGGCCTTCTGCCTGGGGTTAACCCAGCCTTTCTGTTCTCACTCTTCTCTCCAGCTGACTCTAAGGAGGATGCAGTCAAGTGGCTTTCTGGCTTGAAGATCTTACACCAGGAAGTCATGAACGCCTCGACACCCACAATTATTGAGAGGTACTGCGGACTCTGGGCTGTTCATGGCTATATTCACATATTTATTCCACTCCCTCTAACCAGCATGGGATAAAGCCAGAAACCCAGGTGCTTTATCATTGCACCTCACTGAGTGTTCTGTATACAGTGGCTGTGGACTCTCCATTCTTAACAAAGAGCCTCTCGGAGTGCTGAGACCAAGCCTTGCCTTCTCTAGGAAGCAATGCATTGAAGCTCAGACAGAAGACTCCATGGGCAGGGGTGTGAGTGGGAGGCAGGAGGGCTTCTTTCTTAAAGACTTCTTGAGTGAAGAAGCCAGTGCAACCAGGTAGTCAGATGCAGAGGTCTAGAGATCAAGGCCTGCTCTCACAACGGTCCCTTCAGTGTCACGGATAGCCAGGTGGTATTTGTGGGTGAATGACTTTTCCCACCACTAAACTGAAACCCTCCAACTTGCACTGATTTTCTTTGGGGACGTTACCAACTATCGTTAATTTAAAGAGCGTCGCCCACTTAGAGAATTCTGGCCTCTTCAAGTTGCAAGGCACTCTCAGCTCAGCTACTACCAACCACAAGAAAAAGATAGGTTCTCAGGTTGCCCTTTCAGAACGTTGTTAAACGTCCATTCTATTCCGGTTTCCTTGTCCCTGTCCCATAGGATTTACTTAGAGTGTTTTCTAACTTCCTTTGTCTCTTAACTCTCTTCCCAGTTGGCTGAGGAAGCAGATTTATTCTGTGGATCAAACCAGAAGAAATAGGTAAGATAACATTGCCTTTCTTGCGGTATTCTTTTCATTGTTTTGGACTCCGAGGTTTATTTACAGTAAAACCTGTGAAAGTCGGAACCTGTGCGAGGCAGAACCCTGTCAGAGAAGGAGAATTCAGGTGTTTGCCACGGAAACGAAAAGCGTGCAAGACCGCCCCCTGTCATAGATGGAAAACTTCTAAGACCCTGGGAAACACGGCTGCCCCTTTGAGTTTCGTCTATCATAGCTGTCATTCTACTGGCAGTAACGTTTTGACAGAGTTGGAGCGTGTTGTGTGATGTTGGCAATGCCTTCTTGAGATGAGATGTAACTGACAATAGGCAGTTGCAATACTAGTTGACTGGGGCTAGGTGATGACAAACGTGCTTTTTTTTTTTTTTTAAACTTTTTACTGTGATTTGGGTGAAAGTGTACAGAACAAATTGGTTTTCTGCCCAACAGTTCATTCACATTCTTGTTTCTTGAAATTGACTGCGATCCCCAAATGGAACAGCACCTTCCCTACTTCCTGCCTGCATTTCCTGATTCTGTTCCTCTTCCTTTCCTGTCCCTTCCTGCCTTTTGACTTGTGGGGTCCAGCTGCAGAGGTCAGGACTAGGGCCTCCTTCAGTGCATCAACCCATCCCGAATATTTCAGTACCTTCTGCGTCCTGCCTACGTTAGTCCCTGCCTCTTGGGTCCCATTGTGTTGTAGGAACAAATCCCGTGCCATAGGGATGGTTACATTAACAAGGCCGAGATAACGAGCCGTGGTGATGACACAGAATTGGGTGTACTTGCCTTTTTCACTAAACAGTACACCTTGCGGGGGCTTCCCTTTCTGCCCAGAGAGCTCCCTACCAGACCTTTTCTAACCAGATGAGTGGGTTTTCTTGGATGAGCAATGTCGTTTTTGTAATCCTTTCCTTATTAGTGGCTGTTGAGTCGCTCCCAGTCCTGTGTCATTGTTAGGTTAGGAGTAATGCTGCAAGGGACGTTTTGGGGCTCACCTTTTTATAAGCTTGTGTGAAGACACGAGGAAATGTTCAGGGGAAGACCAAGCACGAAGGGTTTGTGGTCTAACATTTTGGCGGACACGTGCTTTGCTAGCCTTAAATCCTGATTCCTGAGGGAAACAAAGAATGACAGAAGCTAAGGGAAAACTTGAGGCAGCAGAAGGCTGGTTCTGAGCAGGCCCACAGGGGAAGTGCCCTCATACCCTGCTTCACCTTTCATAATCTTTAGAGGCCAAAATGTCAATCTGATGGGTGAAAAGTAACAACGCGTTTCGTTTAAATTTGCATTTCTTTATTCAAGAGTGAACTTGCAGAATCCTCTTTGTTCCATTCTTGCTCAAGATACAGTTTGCTTTAAAACGTTCGTGGAAAAATGGACTTTTTTGAAGTCCTCTCCTGGTGTGGTGCTGTTGGATGAACACTGAACCGTTAACTCCAAGATCAGCTGTTCAAACACACCAGCTGCATCTTAACAGCAGCCTGGGTTAAACAGTGTCAGATAACCCAATACGCAGAGTAAGCATGGGTTAATAAACATGTGCTTACTAATCTGTAATGAACAATTTAATGTTTTTTTTTGTTCGCTTCATCAGAACTTCAGCTGCTAGATCTAGCTGGCATCTCTCTGTCTCCCAACAACCTCACAGCCCCTTCCTATAGAATGAAAACCTCTTTTAAAGTTACAATCTCTGACAGGGACAGACTACCCAGTAAGCAGGGTAAACTTACTTGTGCTTACTTACTCATTTGTAGTGAAGAGTTTCACATCCTAGACACGGTGAAACCCACGTGAAATTGTTGACTAGGTGCGTGAGTAAGCACAAGTCAGCCCATGCTCTCCTTGCTTACTGGAAAATCCATCCCCGTTAGATATAGCTGGATCATAAATTCAGCTAACTCTGCCCTGGTTTTCTGGAAGTCTCTCTATCGTGAAGGTGTCTTTGTGTCTGACTGACGTCCTCAGTGGTGTCTTCCACATACACTCACCATTCATATGCTTGGGAATATTAAACCGTGAAGTGGTTACAAGTGTGGTAATGTGGTTAAGCGGCCAGTAGCTCCTTCCCTGGCTTTCTGTTCATCATTCTTTCCCTCTCTACTGCTCTTTTCCATCACTTCCTGGTACCACCACCCCCGGCCTACACCCTGGAGCCACCGATGTGGATCAGATGAGGTCGTGGCGCTGGACGGTTTTGTGCACACAGAGCCCTTTCAGCTCCAGCGGTGGGGCCTCCCTTTATGTTTTCCTTCTCTGTGGTTGTGGGTGACTCATGGTTGAGATTGGCATAGCGGTGGCAGACGGAGCCATCCTGGGCAGTGCTCTCTGCTTGGCAGTTGTACAGACTTGGCAAGCTGGTACGAGAGTCAGCTTTCTCTCTTCTGTTCTCAAGCAGTTAGATGCTCTCCCTTGCTAAGAACAAATCCTTGCGCCTTTCAATCGGCTGTCCAAACCTTCAGTAGACAGAAAGCCCTGTTTCTGGACTCATTTCCTTGCTGGTGTATACCACACCCTCTCCCTGGCCTTCCTCCCAATGGGCAGAGCCCTGTGGCTCTGTCAAAGCATGGAAAAGCCCACCTTTCCCATGGTTCTGTGAGGCCCAGAGAGAGTTAACTCAAAAGAATATTGGACCGTGGTGCCAACGACAGGGCAGCAGACTTCTGTTCTGCCAGCTTTCCCTCCCTTTCCTGTCGCCTACGTTTAATCGTACTTCCTGAAGGGAAACAAAGGAGTAGCAGAAGTGAAGGAAGGACACAAGGCAGCAGGCGACGACAGTCTCTGAGGGGGCGTGCCAGCCTCCCGGGTGTTGTCTTTGGCCCCAGCACCCTGCTGCACCTTCACAGTCTCCAGAGGCAAAGCTGGTAGCAGCTCACACTTACGGCGAATGCACTTTACAGCAAGCACACTGAGCATTCCATATCCAGTTTTTGGAATACCCTCAGCACTGCTCACACACAAGGAGACTGAAGCCCAGAGAAGTTAAGTAATTTCTTCAAAGCAGCCCAGTTTGTCAGGGACGGTTTCAGTCTGGGTAGGCACACCTATCACTACTTTATTGTTGTTTTGCTTAAAAAAAAACAAAAAAAAACAGAGTTGCTATGAGTCGGAACTGACTTGGCAGCACTTAGCAACAACATGGAAAGATAGGGAAATCTAATAATCTTCCCTTCCCCATTTTGATCAATTGCCTTAGAGTCTTAATTCTTACTCAGCCATCCTGTCTGCACTGCCCTGTACTGACACTGAGCATCCTTTCATAGCTCATTTTTATACCGTGTTTTCTGTTCCCCTTTTGTTTTTTTTTTTTAAGTGAATATGTATGAACTTTATTTTTAATTATGAAAGTAACTCATGTCCACTGTCAAAAATTTGGAAATACTAAAAATTGGAAAAAAAGAACGGAACCATCTGTGTGCATTCAGGTGACTAGCAGTGTTTTGTAGGTGGATTATTAGCTTCAGATTTTATTGGTTTGGTTATTCAAGTATAACTGTAGATTGTTGTTGTTAAGTGCTGTGGAGTTAGTTCTGACTCATAGCAACCCTGTATAGGGATTCTGAGGAGTGGCTGGTGGGTTTGAATCACTGACGTTGTGGTTAGCAGTCAAGTGCTTATCATACAGTGCCACACCATTAAAAGGTAATAAAGATAGATTAAATAATTCTATGTATGTAGTTTGGAGTCCTGGTGTGGCGCTGTAGGATAAGAACAGGACCACCGCAAGATTGGTTTGAACCATGAGGTCAGTGGTTGAAACTCACCGGTCGCTCCTTAGAAACCTTACGCTGGAACCCACTCGATGGCACTTAACAACAATACATTTTTTTGGAATAATTCTTGAGTCACAGAAAAGTTGCAAAGACAGCAGAGTGTTTCTGTATGCCCCTGTATTTAATTTCCCCAAGTGTATTAGCATCTTACAACGTGTGGTACCTTGGTGAGAACTTCAAAGCCAACGTGGATACGTTACTATTAACTACTGAAGACTTAGATTGAATATCGCCAGCTTTTTCCACCAATGCCCTTTTACTGTTCCCGATCCCACTTGGGAGACCACATCGCGTTTGGTTGTCGTGTCTTCCTGTGGGCTGTGCCGCTACCTCAGTCTTGTTTTTTTGTTTTATTTCTTATCCTGCAGCCTTGTCGGTTTTAAAGAGAGTTTCTCAGGTGTTTTGTAGACTGCCTGAAATTGTGTTTGTCCGATCTTCTTTTCATGATTAAACTGGGGTTGTGGTGAGACAGGGGTACCTAGATAGCACAAACGGTTTATGTGCTCTGCTGCTAATGAAAAGATTGAGGTTTGAGACTCACTCAGAGCCACCTCAGAAGATCTCCTGCCAGAATATCAGCCACTGAAAACGTTGTGGAGCACAGCTGTCTGTGTCACATTTGGGGTTCATGGTCTGGAGCCTATTCAGCTGCAAGTGAACTTGAGTAGACTTCACTACAGTGATAGTGAAGAACAGCACAGAGGCCAACATCATGCCAGCAGGGCATACTCTCAGCATGACTTACCCATGACATTGACTTTGTCCCCCTCACCAGAGTGATGTCTGCCAGGTTTCAAGATGGTCAGGTTAGGCCCACTTCCCTTACTCCTTTGTGGCAGTAATCCACCAGGTCCAGCCCACACAAAAAGATGAGGCTCTTTTCAACTAACCTTCAACAAAGAACTTTTTTTAAAAATCAACATTTATTATTCATGAAAATACCCACGACAGAACGTACACGCATTCCACAGTGTCGACATGCACATTGGCATTGCTGGGGTCCTTGTTTGTGGTATCACCTGTGTCGTCTTCGCTACATGTATAGTTTCACCACCGATGACACAGACCCGCTACCCTGTCGTCTGCCCATCTGTGCTTTAGGGTTACTGTTGCCAGATTGACCTCGTAGGTAATCCTTTCAAAGGGTTCAATGTTTAAGCCAAAGATCCTTTGCTAATTGAGCTAAACTGTTGTTTAGTTGAAAAGATGACTTCAGGGGTTTAGGTTAAAGATTTAGCGATTATATCAGGGCAGTTGTCTCACTCGATCCACTAAGTCTAGATTATGTCATATATCAGTCTTATTCGATCCAGTAAGTCTGGATTCCATAAGAACGCTCAACACTGATCCACGATTTCTCCTCCTCTGGATCAGGATCCATCATGTTCTCGATCAAAGCCTTTAATAGTATTTTTGTGGCATTCCATAAACTTAAGAACTTTTGTGTGTCTCATTGCAGCTACTCAGACAAGTATGTTGATGTAGATCTACATTATAGTTCAGTGAGTGGAAGTTGGAGAACTGGCCTGAAAAGTTGCCTTTTGCTAATCTTTTCGTTTGTTTCCAGTTTTTCCTTACATTTGTGGGTTTGTTTGTTTGTTTGCTGAATTGTGTCCCAAGTGAACCACACAGCTGATACTCTTCACAAGATGCCTTTTCGGCATCACTCAGATTTCTTGCCCCTCAGTTCCATGATTCTCAGTACCCTGTTGAATGAGTGGGCTGATTGTCTTAGGTCTTGTTCACATTGTTGCTCTTGTTGGTGGTGATGAGCTTATTGAAGACAGGGGTCGCCATCCGGTAGTCTCTCTGTGTTTGTTCACGTCTGCTGAATAAGTCTTCCATTCTCGTTCTTAGACAGCACATTGGACAGCTTTAGAAGCTTTTGTGATTGAGAAGTTATTCCTCAAGATTAGCGGAGAGGTTCAAAGAGCGTATTTGTTGCTAACCGTCTATTGTGAATTGAGTGAAAGCTTCTAGAACAGATCGGGAGTTTTACGTTCAACAAATTCATATACTTCGTTTCGGTTCAATGATTGTAGTCCCCTCCATGTAACGGCAGTTGTCCGGCTTCCTCCTTGTGAGATCATGTTTCTAGTCCACTTTGTTTCCCAGCCCGTCTGAATTATGTCCTTAGGAAAGTGCTGCCCTTTCAGTCTTGAGTGGTTGACCAGTCCATGGTGAGCATATCTTGTTAGTGTTCTTGTCCCCCTTATATACTTACTGTCCACTGCTTGGCTGAAAATTGAGCCATGAGTTCTGGACCTGTGACCAAGAGCCACAGTCTCAGTTTCCTCCAGTCTCTTTCTGAGCAGTAAGCCTGGACTTTTTTATATTTTTGAGATTTGTTCTATAAGCACGAGCATTTTAATGTACTTGTTGGCCAGATTTCCGGAGGCCCTTTTTGGGCCTTATAGAGTTTATTTCTTCTTACCTGAAGATTAGGTTCAAAGCCCAGTGCACCTATTGGATATGTCTTGTGATCAGCCAACCTGTGAGACAGCCCCAGAGCCGCCTTTGAGGTTCATTGGATTTGTTTTTCTTCCTGTGAGGCTCACAGGGCGCCCAGTCCCACAGAGGGGAAAACAGGCCCCATGGACTGATGGTCATTGTGTTTACAGGTGGAAATAAATCCCTTTCCCCTTCTGGCCTTGACCCTTCAGCCTGTAACATCGAATTTGCATAAGGCAGGTTCTCTTTTCCCTTCAGCCTTGGTGGAGAAGAGGGACGGAGTCTTCATGGGAGATGGGGAAGCAGGCATGTTAACTCAATTTGCTCCTGCAGCAAGAATACAACTACGTGGGCCTTCAGAGAGTTTCTGGAAGAATTCTGTTTTCTTTTCATTCCATTTGTACACGGATTTTTGAAGCCTCCTTTTATGTAGGTGTCCTGTGTAACTTTGGAGGCACAGTAGAATCAGCTGAGACTCGTAATAGCACAGTTGCTGGAGCCCTAATTCCTGAGATGCTGGTTGTGAACTTCTGGTCACAGATTTGGGTGTTGGAGTATTAAAAAAAAAATTCCAGGTGTTTCTACTCCAAAACCAGGGCTGTGAACTCTGATGTTCTCTAGAGAGCAATTCTCAAATTTGCACCAACGTCACAGTGTCCCAGAGGGCTTGTTACAGCACAGAATGAGGGGCCTCACCTATTATAGGGTTTCAGATCCAACACAGGGTCTGGGAAGAGAGCCAAGAATTTGGTACCTAACAAATTCCCAGGTGCGATGATGGTCCAGGGGCCACACTTTTAAGAAACAAGACTCTGTTAACTTGATTCTGCCTCTGAGCAAACCTACAGGGCAGGTAGAACTGCTCCACAGGGTTTGAGAGGCTACAGGTCTTTATCGAACAGACTGCCTCCTCTTTCTTCCGCAGAACAGGCTAGTGTGTTTGAACCACCAACCTTTTGGTTAACAGCCAAATGCTTGCCCCACTCATCACCAAGCCTTCTGAAATGAACTAAACACAATGTAAGATTCAATTTCTTGACCATAGCAGCTACATCTCAAGTGCTCAGTGGTCCCACATGGCTAGCGGCTGCCATATTGGACAACTCAGATAGAATTAGCATCATTGTTGACAGGTCACTTGGGTTATGTTGTTGGTGGTACTTTTATCCCTTTGGGTAGACATGCACTCTCCTTTTTCTGCTGGAACGAAATCTTACCATCATTCAGTGTCTGGCTCATGGGAAGCACACTCTAGATTTCTATGCTGCGGTCCGTCGACTGTACGTTTAGGATGTGGTTCAGATCCACACTCTTCTGCCTACATGTCACCTGGCACAGGGCACCCCACAACCCCCCATAGCCTGTTCTGAAGCTTGGTGGTTGATGTGTGTACTTTGTATGGGGTAGAAGGTGGCCTGGGACCAGGTGATATTACCTGGATGACAATCAGGGTAGCCTGGCATTCAGTAGGTGCTCAGGTGAGGTGGGTTTCCCTTGTCCTCACTCTCACTGAACTCTAGTAGCTTGGCCTTGCTTTAAACCCCAGTGGTATTTCATATGGGTGAGGGATACCTGGTCATTTGACACCATGTTCTGTTCTGCCTGCACTGTGAATCTCCTATGTGACCTATCTCTCTTCACCCCCACAAACATGGAGACCAGCCCTGTCCCATCAGGCAACACCCCACACTGTGAATCTCCTATTTGTGCTACATCTCCTTAGCCATTCTTGAAGGGTGGAAACCCACCTTCGTTCGTGGGCCTTGAATGCAGAGTCTCTAGTTCCCATGTGGTCAACAATTGTTGGGCAGAGATTCTCAGGGAGGGACACTGAGGTGGGTGGGGGGGTGATGAGGGTAACAAAGCCCCTACTGTTGTAAACTGTAGAGGTTGAAGGAGCTGGCTTTCCTTCTTTTGCAGCATCAGCCTCCGAGAACTGAAGACCATCCTGCCCATGATCAACTTCAAAGTGAGCAGTGCCAAGTTCCTCAAAGATAAGTTTGTGGTAAGTTTTGTAGCTCAGCCCCTGGGCTTTTGTGAACTCAGGACTGTTTACCATGTCTCATATGAAGTTACTGAGTACCTTTGAGTTCTGTCCAGTGGTGTCCAGTGTAGTTCTCCGCTTCCAGAGGGCACCAGTTCTCGTTGACTGAAGGTGCATGTCAACATCTCAGGCCTCTGCTTCGAATCCTAGCAGAGTGTGTTCTCACCGACGACTCTGTGTGCTGAACTGTTTGTCTTGAAATGTTTAAACTCAGACCTGTTTCCACAAACCCTCCTTCTCTGCCTCCCTCCCAGTCTGTCACCTGTCTTCCTCCTAGTAACATGAGCTAGTGTATTTCTTGTGGAAAATTTTATGAACGAGTCCCTCTGTGGGCTGCCTGGATTGTGGCATTTCATGTGAAAGTCTTGGCTGTCTTGTACATCTACCTTAATTTACATCTACCTACTCACCCACCTACCCACCAACTCATCCATCCACACATCTGTCCACTCATCTACCCGCTCACTCACCTACCCACCCATCCACCTATCTACTCATCTACCCACTTACACACATACCCAGCCACCC